AAAACCTTCTTCAATGGCTGCTGAGTGGTGGTTCTATCAGACCACTTCCACCCCCAGAAGTGTCTAGGCCTCACACCTCCAGGACAGCCCCGTCCATAGGACTTTCTGCCCTGATACAAACGTCCGCTCCTGCACCGACCAATGCAATAGCCACTAGCAACGCGAGATTCTTGAGGACTTGAGATGTGGCAAGTGTGACTGAGGCAGTGGTTTGTATTTTCATGGATTCTAACCAATTTACATTTAATAACCACATGTGAGTAAGTGGCCACCATATTGGAACGGGCAGGTAGAAAACATTTCCATCATTGTGAGAAGTTCTATTTGCAGGAAGTTCTACTGAGCGTCAGCTCTAGACTGACTACAAAGAAGCAGAAGCATTGGGGGGCCTTCATAGAAGCTCCTATACTTGGGGTCTGAAGGGAGATCGGGGCGGCAGCCCCCCAAGGAAGAGGGTGTCAGAAGCTGAGCAGCAGAGGCCCTGCTACAAAGCTATACACAGTCACCAGGACACTCCCTACCCAACACATGCACACCCCATTCCTGGAGACAGAAACTCCAACCACAGGGCACCCCACACCCAGACTCACGCACACCTGGATACTCTAATGCATGGGCTCCCTGTTGGGGAACACAGATACCCCCACAGTCCAATATCCAGACACTTGGGAACCCCACACCCAGACATCCAAGTATTCAGACAGCCCCACATGTGGACACAACACAGAGACATTCCTGTACTTGAGCGCCCATGAACCTGAGGACTGATGAACACCTGGGTACGCCCACCTCCAGATCCAGAGACACTGGGCCATCCTCCCACAGCTTGGTCCGGGGACCATCTGGATACTGAGATGCCACCCACCCAAAGAGGTCTGCACCCAAACTCCGGGAATTTGACACTTAGATACCAAGACACCCTAGCAGCAGGCTCTCCAGGGATCCAAACAGCGGGTCACCTCCCTATTCCAAACTCAGATCCTGCCACAGGGTAACCAGATGGCCAGACACCTTGACAAGCCATACATATGTCCTGTGTGCCAGGCGGCAATCATACAATCATACACATACACAACCCCTCATCTCATTCTGACTGCCCTGGATCACACCTGCACACCCCTCAGCCAGACTCCCATAACCCCACCTGCAGGGGTCACTACAGGGAGCAGCCCTGCTCCCCTCCCTGGAGCTCACAAGCTGTTGGCACAAAGGCTTCGACCCCACCTGCTTACTCCAGGATCTGGGACAGAGAACTGGGGGAGTCTCCCCCTCCTGATGCAGGGCCTGCCCTCCCTCCTCCCAGGACGCTCAGCTCCAAATGACGGTTGGGATTCCACGCCTCGCACCACCTGCCGAGGCCTCCAGCACAAAGGCTGAGCCTGGGGGCAGGACGGCCTGCCAGCTGCTGGGGGGCGGGGTTGGAGGCAGAATTGGAAGCTGGAGAGTGGGGGGAATGACAGGCAGGAGACCGATCTCTTCAGTCTCTTCCAGGGGCTCAACCTCCCCTACTCACAGCTCCCAGATGACTCTGTACATGGCCTTTCCACACACAACACCATCCCCCAGCAGAATTTTCCAGATTCCTGGAGGGAAAACCGAATTCTTTAATCTCTACTTTCAGTGGAGTCAGTGCGCCCCCATCTGGCTTCTCCAGCTCAGAACTTGACCCACTGGACCTCATTCATTCTTTCTTGCCACATTTATTCAGTGCTGGTGGGCCAGGACTTGAACCAGACATTAAGGACTCAGAAGTGACCTAAACACCCAGTCTCTGTCCTCACAGAGTTCATGGTCTGTAAGGGAGAAAGGACCAATAAACTGTAATCACAATAATTACAATGCTGTGAAAAAAATCTAATCAACCCCCACTCTCCCTGAGCTAGAACAGGGAGTAACCAAGGAAGGCTTCAGGGAGGAGATGATGCCTGAGCTGAGACCTGAAGGAAGAACAGAAGTTCACCAGGAGAAGAGGTGGAATTAGAAAGCTCTAGGGGAAAGCACAGCTTGGAGGACAGAAGGGAGCTGCGGGAGGAAGAAAGGGCACAAGGCACCCCAGCAACTCTAGCTAACCCAGCAGGGCATGAAAAAACCACCCCACAAGTCTAGCTTAGCAGATGACGGCATGGAAGGGTGGCAGCATGCCTCAAAGCAAGCAGTTGTCCATCCTGAATTTTCTCTGAGACTTGAGCTGGGCAGGGGGCCGCCAAGGAGCTCAGCACCCACCACCCTGGCCACTCTCACCACTCCTGCTGAGTATCCTCCCCCCCAGCCCCAGGGAGAATACCTTCCATCCGTTACCTTCCATCCAGCTGCTCAGACAAGCCTTTATTGCCCAACCTGAAACCACTAGGCAGCCTCTCCCTCATTCCTGTTGTCCACAACCCCAGGAACCAAAAGGACAAAATGAACTAGAACACAGAGGAATAAATTATTGCCAGATCTGCATGCCTACGAGACATCTCACACCTACCTTTTGTGGGGCAGGGGATACAGGAGGCATTCAGGGAGCTGGGCTGATCTTACGCAGGTTGGGGGCAAAGATAGATTGTGCCTCTTCTACAAAGTGTTTATTTATAAACGAAGCCCCAAAGGTAATAGCTACAAGGATGCCAGGAACTTTAAAGTAAAGTGATTTGCCCAAGGTTACAAGGACAGCAAGTGGCAGAGGTAGAATTTGAACCCAGGCCCCCCTGGCTTCAAATCAGTTTCTGGGGCTCTGTAAGAGTCCTCAAAACCATCTTTTGTTCCCTGGCACTCACAGATAGAGCCTTACTTTACAATCTACCAAGTACTATGCACCATTATTATGATACCCATAAGATCTATGAGGAAACCAAGACCCCAGAAATGGAAGTAACTTGCTCAGGGTCTCAGTCCCATCCGATACCTCAGTTCTTAACAGTCTCCCCGCTGCTGGCAAGAGGTGGAGCACAGGAGGGTTCTTGCAAGGGGGGAGGCGTGGAGGGGGGGCACAGTAATCTTCCGGTTTGATCTCAGGGTGGGGGAGGAGCAAGTGGCTGGGGAGGGGTTGGAGAAGGAGAGGAAGCCAGGCCCCGGCTCCCAGCCAACAGCAGGAGCGACTGCGGGATCAAAAGGAGGTCTGCCCGAGAGGCCCGAAGGGGCGGCGGGGCGGCGAACTCGACTCCGGGGAGGCCAGTTCTCCGAGGCCAGCGGCCAGGAGGAGTCTCTCCGGGGCCTAGGTGGCCCAGCACGTGCTTTGGCTCTGATCTCTGCTTGGGGCGTCTCCCCGTTACTCCGCGCCCTGGGTACCAAGCTGGAGACACCCAAACGGTGAAGATTGAGAGGATGAGGCCGCGGGAGGGGACCGGGTCACCCCTGCCCCAGGGGACCGGTAGAGTACAACTCCTCTGGAGGGGGCCACAGTCCAGGATCCCAGGCCCCAGGGAAGGAAGGGGGGGCGGGGGAGTCAGACACACGCACACAGCCGACACACGGTTCACAGCACACACGGACACAGACACAAGCCCCGGATACGCACATTCAGATCCGCGAACACACACACACACACACCACACACCGCGCGATCGCACAGCGTACAGAAACACGGAGACACACGTACACACTCACACACACCGCGGTCCGGGCCGACCGAGAGGCCGCACAAAGTTGCGGAGTCGGCCATGGGAGTGTCCCGGGAGACCCCGGTGTCCGCGATGCCTCCTGCCCGCCACGGGAGGGGGCGCCGTCCCGCGCCCCAAGGCCAGGCCCTGCCCGCGCCGGGACGTCGCAGCCCCGCCCGGCCACAGCGCCCGCCGCGCCTCCCACCCCCATCCACCGCCCGCCGGGTGCAGCCACGGCCGAGACCCGCAGCAGCGCCCGCCCGCCGGACCCGGTGCCCGCCTCCCGCGCCGGGCCCTCCCCGCCAACAGCCCGGGCGCCCCGCGGCCTCAGCGCCGCCTCGGAGCTGCCGGCCGCCAGCGCCGCGCAGAACTTGCTAAACAACAAACAGCCCGACATGTCGGAGTCGGCGGCTCCGGGGCCCCCTTCCTCCCTCCTGAGCCTCAGGCCCGGCCCGACCCGGGAGGGGAGGGGGCGCCGCCTCGACAACTTGTTCCCGGCCCGCGCGCCACATACGCACACACGCGGGGCGCGCACATACACACACACACACACACACACACACACACACACATCCAGACACCGCCCCCTCGGGCGGCCCCGGGCCCCGGGCACACACTCAGCCACCGCCCAGGCGCGCACCACACTCGCAACATTCCTGGACACGCAGCCAGCACGCACGGACACACTCACACACTCACATCCGCTCCAGACACGCTCCTACACACGCATTCCCGGCACACTTGGCATTCACTCGGACCCACGCAACCCCTGGCGGCGCACACCACCAACCCCAGACACTCCCACACGTACACATCGCGCACACAGTGCACGGACACACACGTTCCGGACCTGTTCCCACGCCTTCACACACGTACATGGACCTCACAAGCACACACACCACACACGCGTTCCCCGATCCACACGCGGGCACAATCCACAGAGCACTCCCGGTCACACGCATAACACAAACACACAGCACATTCGCGGACACATAACAGGCAGCACTACCTGCCACGACATACAAAATGCAAACAAATGCAACACATTCGTAGACACAACTCCGGCCACAGAACCAAACTCAGATGCACACACACAATCTACTGGCCGCACAAACACTACTCACTGGCAGGCGCACAAGACAGCGCACACCCAATGCCTCGACGCACACAACATTCACCCCAACACACTCGTAGACGCACAACACACACAGCACCTTTTCATGCACACATAACTCACGGACACACAACATTCACAGACACACAACACCCTGAGCCCCCGGTCGCATATCCAACACTCAGACACACACAGGGAGCAGGCTCGGAACGCCCGGTCACCTAACACTTACACTTTCTTGAGAGCTACGCCGTGGGCCCCGGGGGCTCAGCGGGGCAAGCTCGGTCTGACCGACGCGCGCTTACCTGCCGGAGTCTCGGTCTCAGGCGCGCAGAGCTGGAAGGTGAGCGCCAGGACCAGAGCCTGGGCGCGGACCATGGTGCGCCGCCTCCTGCCCCGGAGCCCGGCGCAGGGGGTGCCGCCGCCAGAGCCCCAGCCGAGCCCAGCCGGAGGCGAGCCGGAGCCGGAGCGAAGCGGCGCGGCGCGGAGCGGGACTGGCGCGGAGTCCAGAGCGGGAGCCCAAGCAAGCGGGGCGCTGACGTCAGGCCCGGCCCCGGGTTCCGCGGTCTCGCGGCGCCCCCTGCTGGCAGCCGAACGCCCTGCAGCGGGTCCGGTCTCCGACTGCCCGGGAGCGCCCCTCCCCCATTCCTGCAAACCAACCCCCCAACCCCCCCCCGCCCGCCGGGGGGGGGGGGTCCCCCCGGGCCCTGAGGCCCACCGCCTCTACATTCACCCAGCACCGACTTTCTCAAGCCAGCATGCTCGCTGCCCACACTTAGCTCTGGCATAGCGCTCTCGGGGACAGAAGACCCAAAGACAACCTGCTTCTCTGTCCCCTTTGATGCTTGCATTCCCTCTTATCGAGACCCCTCCAAATGCACATTCATGCATACCTGCAAGGTCAGAGTGCTTTGCTCATCACCTACTGAAGCCAGATGGTTGGGTCTTTGGAAACGCTGGCTTCTAAAGTTGTCCATAATATTCTTTTATTATCCTTTTAATATCCATGGGATCTGTAGTGATGTCCCCTCTTTCATTCCTGCTATTAGTAAATTATGTCCTCTGTTCTTTTCTTAGCCTGATGAGAGGCTTATTGATTTATTGATCTTTTCAAAGAACCAGCTTTTGGTGGAGCTTATTTTTCTCTTCCTATTTCCTGTTTTCAATTCCATTGATTTCTGCTCTAACGTTTTTTCTTCTGCTTCCTTTGTATTTAATTTGCTCTCCTTTTTCTAGTTTCCTAATGTGGAAGCTTAGCTGATTGATTTTAGATCTTTCTTCCTTTTTTAATGTTTGCATTCAGTGCTACAAATTTCCCTCTAAGCACTGCTTTTGATGCATCCCAGAAATTTTTATAAGTTGTGTTTTCATTCTCATTGAGTTTAAATTTTTTTTATTTCTCAACATTTCTTCTTTGATCTACTTGGTTTTTTTTTAAGGATTTATTTATTTATTTATTTGAGGGGAGGGTGCACTTGCAGGGGGGAGGGGCAGAGGGAGAGGAAAGGAGAGAATCTCAAGCAGACTCTGCACTGAGTGCAGACCCTAATAAGAAGCTTGACCTCACAACCTTAAAATCATGACCTGAGCCAAAACCAAGAGTCAGACACTCAAAGAGTCATCCAGGTGCCCCCAATCCATGTGTTATTTAACCTCCAAGTCATTTAGAGTGTTCCGGCTACCTTTCTGTTACTGATTTCTGGTTTAATTCCACTGTGGTCTGAGGGCAAACATTGTACGAGTCTGGTCTTTTAAACTTAAGGTGTATTTTAGAGCCAGAATGTGGTCTATCTTGGTGAATATCCCACATGAGCTTGAGAGGAATGTGTATTCTGCTGTTATTGGATGGCATAGTCTATGGATGTCTAAGACTGATGGTGGTGTTGAGTTCAACTACGTCCCTACTGATTTTCTGTCCACTGATTCTGTCCATTTCTGGCAGAGGAGTGTTGAAATCTCTAACTATGATAGTGAATTCATCTATTTCTCCTTACAGTGCTGGCTTTTAGAAAATTATTCCTTTTAATGCCATAAAGTCTGCCTCCGTCACTAATTCTCCTTGGTCCTTGTCTACCTCTGGCTACACAGGTTAAGTATATTTGGGGCTCTACCCAGTACAATGTTGCCAAACTTGTTGCCCATTACTATGTCCAGACACCTACTATGTACTTTACCCACATAGACTCATTTAATCCTCACCACTATTACTTTTTATTCCCATTACATAGTTGAGGAAATTGAGGTACAGAGAGGTGACTTTTTCAAGGTTGTGCATCAGTATTAGTGGGCACCAAGATTTGAATCAAGGCCATCTGGCTTACCTTGAGTGGAGGCTGAGAACTGCCTCCTATCTGGAGCAAATTAACACATACCAGATAGTAATTCGTTTATTCAACAATTCCTATAAGCCAAGGTGGAGTTATAAAACAGATAAAAATTCCTACCCTCATGGAGTTTACATTCCAGTGGGAAAACAAGAACAATAACTAGCCATGCAAGCAAATTCTCTGGTACATGAGATAGTGATAAACCATGGCTTCTGGTATTTGGGACAGAGATATAACAGAGAAATGGAGGGAGAAACAGTGAGGGGGGAAGAGATTATTGCAGTTTTATTTATTTTTGGGTTTTTTTTTAAGATTTTATTTACTTTTGCAAGAGAGAGAATGAGCATGAACAGAGGGAAAAGCAGATTCCCCACTGAGCAGGGAGCCCGATGTGGGGGTTGATCCCAGGACCCTGGGATAATGACCTGAGCCACCCAGGCGCCCCCCGCCAAGGGCAAGAATTTTGTCTTGTATCCCAGAGCTTAGTGTCTAACGTGTAGTTGATGCTCAAAAAAATACCGAATGGGTAAATAAATGAATGCAGACAGACATGGTCTTTGCCCTCATGAGGCTTACACTCTCAGGGAAAAGACCAACAGCTAACATGCAAAAATATGTCATTACAATCCAAGATGTGCAGTCTAAAGAAAATGGGGGAAATGTTGTGATAAATAATTGGGGAGGACATTCTACTTGAGTTAAGGGGGTCTGAGAGGGATTTCCTGAGTAAGTGAAGTGGTAATATTTGAGCTGGGACCTGAAGTAAGGGAAGAAGCCAGCAATCAGTGGGGAGGGACACAGCAGCCAGAGAGGACAGCCTGTGCAAAAGCAGGAGCTGGTGTGTTTGAGGAGTAGTCAGGCCAGGGTGGCTGGAATGGAGTGGGGAGGAAAGAAGAGCCAGTTACAGCTGGAGAAGCCGGAAGGATCGGGAGGGCATACAAGACACTATGGCACTTTGGGTTAAACCCTAAGAACAGTAAGAAGCTATTGGAGCCTTAAACAGAATAAAATTACTCTTTTTTTTTTTTAAGTCTTCAGATGAGCCAAGTGGATAACGGACTGTAGAAATAGAGACCCACGGGTAGATGGTTCTAACTAATGGACAGTGACACCAGATAGAGCCTAGGATTTCAAGGTCTATCTAAGACCTCCCTGTGTCCTGCCTCCACTGCAGGCTGGCTACTCACTGAGGGGGGCACAAGTGAGATTGGCCTGCACTTGGAGGAGGCAGGGTGGAAGGTTTCTGGGCTCTCTTGTGAGCCCTGATGAGCCGGAGAAGGGGCCAAACAGACAGAGAATTTGAGCGAGAATCACAGGGAGAAAGTCAGAAGCAAGAAAAAGTTGATGGGGAAGAAACAGATAGATACAGGAAAAGACAGGAAGGACTACCCAGAACAAGAAACTCAAGGAGAGAAATCCATTGAATAGAAGAAACAACTAAAGGTGATGCTGTTTGCAGAGGACTCCTGTGAGAGCTTGGTGACAAGAGTTTACCATTGATCCCATGTTTCTCTATGTGGACACTGAGGCTCAGAAATTATGTGGCCCTTGTCCACTTTCCCGCAAAACTAGTAAATGATAGGCCCAGGATTCAAATCTAGACCTGACCAACTCCACACCCCCTCTTGCTCTTTTTGCTGGAGAAGACTACAGGGCAGACACCATCATGGGAGGAGAAGGAGAACATGAGCAACAGGTGGACAGATGAATACTGCTTCACTTGGAAAAGATCAAAGACTTCCAGAAGCCTTGAGTGGCCTGGAGTGACCTGCCTAAATCTAGGGGAAAAGGAGACAGCACCGCAGACAGGGCCAGGCCGTGAGGAAATTCAATTACTTTCAACTCATGGAGTATTTATGACACCTACCCTGGGCCAGGCCCATATTGAGTGCTGGTGTCATGGAGATGCGCCATACATGACCCACTCTTGCCCGGAGGGGGAAGTGGACACGTAAACAAATAAGGGACTGTGTCCTAAAGGCCATAACACCAATTCAGAGAAAACACAAAGGCAGCAAAAGGTTGACTCAGCCTAGGGAGCTGGAAAACAACACCAAAGAAATGATATCTGAACCTGGAATTTCCCAGGAGGGCAAGGCCAGAAGAGCATTTCAGGCAGAAGAAGAAACGTGAATAAAGATACAAGACATGGAATTGCTCAGAAAGGTGGGTATCAGGTGCTGTTGGATCATGGGCTACGCAGAGTCTTATAGCAGGAGATAAAAGCAGCGTGGGACTCAGAGTGCAGAGGCTATTGAATACAAGGCGTGAAAAGTAGACTTGAACCCCTCAATCAGTAGTTCTCCAACTATGCCTTCAGGGAAACCAAGGGACTCCTCAAGTTAAGCTGAGGGGTTCTGCCACGGAATTAAAACTATAGCCATCTCTTTCTAACTTGCAAGAAGGTAACTTAATTACTTTGAAGAGAATTTTCTTTGTTTAAAGGTGCTTTTCCTCCATATACTATTCTAAAGATTTTAGCATATGGCAGTTGTGCTAGAGATTAACAGAGTCGTTTTGTTTTGTTTTGTTTTGTTTTGTTTTGTTTTTTTACAGTTTTAACTTTAGCATGTCAGTAGCTCATTATGTTCTAAAAGGAACTGTGGCTTCTGGATCTAAGTATTGGGGAGTCACAGAAGGACTTTCAGCAAGGAAAAGAAAATCTCATCTTTCTGTTTAAAAAAAATCATTCTGGAGGTGTCTGGCTGGCTTAGTCGGTAGAACATGAGATTCTTGACCTCAAGGTTGTAAGTTCCAGCCCCATGTTGGGTGTAGAGCTTACTTAAAAATAAAATATTTTTAAAAAATCATTCTGGAGGCCTGAGGAAGAAGGAAAGGGAAGGGAAAGGGGGGAGAGGATTTCAGTTAGGAAGAGGCTGCTGACACAGTTGATGTCCTGGGCTGAAAAGGGGGGGCTATTGGGATGAATGGGGGGACTAAGTCCAGTCTCCAGGAGGCAGACCTACTAGATGATTCTCCAGGATTTCCAGCCAGGCTGTCCAGGGAATTCAGAGGAATCAATTTGGTAGAGAAGCTAATGTCAACAGCTCA